ACTACTGCTTTCTCCTTGGGTGCACTCAACTTACGTAGCAGTCACATTTCCATCCTACATTATAACAAAACCACCTAGACACATTAGGACAATTGTCCCCTGGTGGGTACAAAGTAAAGCTGAATTAATTTGACCAAGACAGAAGGTACTTTTTTGTGCCGTCTTCATATTTGGGACTATCCATAATTTTATCCCCAAACCACTCATTCTATGCAGATTACTTTATGGTACTTCTAACAAAAATGGCAGAAACCTAAGGCACTGACTTTTCTCCAAAATTGTCTTGCAGTTTCCAGGGAGTCCTAGAATTAAGACCTAGAAATCTGTGATTTTTTTATAAACTGGTAATACTATGTTCTGTGGTTTGCATTTCAAACTGCCATTTAAACAGCTCAGAAGCCACGATAAGAGCTGCTTTCAGATCTCCTTTTCAACCCTTACATAAATAGCTCTGTGACAAGACACAGCAATTTTGGCCCCGCTTTGTTCTGAAGTTCTGTGAATCTTACTCTTTACTTCTTAAATAAGAAGCCCATACTGGATCTAACTGAGGTCTCCCCTCTTTTTTTTTTTTTCTTCTCCTCCAAGCCAGATTGCTTCTTCTTTCTAAAAGAAAGAAGACATTCTCAGACTAAGCAGTCCTATTTTTAATTTGTGTGCTTAAGTTTCCTTTTTCTGGCTTTGACATTTCGTCTTCATCTTACAATACACTCCCCCTGCCCCAGCAGTCCTGCAGCTCTCTCACATGAACCTTGCTGAACACAGGAGACCCTTGGCACGTGCTTGAGCAACAGCCTGATACAAAGATCAAGACACATTTTTTTGTTCTGGAAGATCCCTGCTCACAAAAGATCCAGATTCAGCCACTTATCTATCCCTTTCCTTCAAAACTGAAGGAATGTTTCATTCTATCAGTTGACTAATTCCCATAAAATTTGATGGGAAAAATGTCAAAACCATCTTAGATCTTCTGAAACTTTTACCTCTCTAACCTTTGCCAAATTCCCATATTGGTAAATACTCCCAAGAAAAGGAATTTGACAGATACAGCTGCTTTCATCAAGATTCCGTCCCTGTTAATACCACTGACTTCAGAGGAATTACATCATGAATCAATCAGATGAATCAGAATGAATCCTACCAATCTTCGCTATGAATTTGATAAAACCTCATTAAAATTAGTAGAACAGCATCTATCATATAAATCTGTGAATGAAAATGTCCCTCCTTATTTTTAAAGAGAAAATGAAAGACAATAGATAAATGAGGCGTATTAAGGCAGAGACACAAGTAAATAAAAAAATTCTTATTTGAAATCTACAATGGCTTATTTAGCTTCTTTGTTGTTGAAAGCAATGCAGGTTCACATTTCCTTTTGCTTTTAATAAAAATTAAGTGATATTATATGCTGTGAGTTTTATTGTCTGAACAGCGCAGCTAAGTACAGAACACAATGGCAACATTACTAACTGTTCTCCCTTTTGTTAACTTAGGGACTAACCTTAACATTACTTCACAAAACCATTTTTACTGAAGGGTGTACATGTTTTTGTTGTTGCTCTTTAGCTGAGTTTCTCTCCAACATTCTCACAAACTGTCTTTGAAAGGAAATCAGTTATCCCTTAATGAGCCAACACTTATGAAAGGTTTTAACTAATTCATTACAGTCATGGAGAATGGAGAAAGATGTAGAATCAACTGAATTTCTTTCCAAGCTCTGTTTCAGAACAGAAACACCATTAATTTGAAGACTCATCTCCGATTTTATTTTTTATTTTATTTTTTTTTCCCCAGCTTGTACACGTGAGTTTAATGTTTTTTAAAAATCAGTTGTATTTCCTACACTGGGCTCCTTACTGTCAGGAATGTTTTCTGCTACTCTTCTCATAAAAAAGGTGAATTTAAAAATTTCAAATCATGGCAATGACAGACCCTTTTAGCACAAGGAACTCAGAAAAGAGTGTAAAGCTAAACATCCACCAGTGCTTCAAGTCACAATATTACCCTTTTGTTAAGCAGAGACAGATTAAAACACTGCAACGTCCCAATTTCCGACTGGTGGAGAATCCAGTAAGAGGCATTCAGAGTAGTTTTACGTGTAGTGTATTCATCTACAAGCCCCCTGCTTTTAATCAGAGATATACCAAATTGCACACAAACAATTCCATTGCAGAACCAATAAAACAATTCCAGGAATCTGATAATCCAGTTTTCTATTTCTCTAATGGAAAACCTTTTCTATTAAAACAAATACTTGGGTTAGTCCCTGGAGTAGAAAACACGTCTGGGAGAAAAGTATGTTTATAGAAGATTTCTATAACCTGGCTAGCAGTTCACTGAATCATAGAAGTGTTGCTGGAGGCTGACTGATCCAACCTTCTGCTCAAAGCAAGATGATCACTAACACAAGATCAGGTCAGCTGTGGCTCTGCCTGGCCAAAACTTCTACACCTCCTGGTATGGAGAAAGCAGACTGTCCCTGGGTGACTTGTCTTGGTGCTGCACTGACTTCCTAGTGAATAGATGTTTCCTCATGTCCACAGTAAGCCACCCAAAACTGCAGTATGTGGCCATGACCTGGCACTAGGACAGGAATTTGGCTCCACTGTCTCTGTTACTGCTCTCCAGGTAGCTGTACACCACGATGAGACCTTCCACTAGCTTCCCCTTCACTAGACCAAACAAACCTTGCTTCCTCAGCCTCACTTCATAGATCCCCTGACCAATTTTTTGACCCTTTCCAGCTTCCCAATATCTCTGTTGATCTGGAAGGCGCAAAGTTTGATGCAGAATTTCAGCTCTGCTCTTAGCAATAATGAGAAGGATAATAACTTGCCTCCGTCTGGCTGTGTCCTCCAAATGTAGCTCATTATGTGGCTTACCTTCCTTGCAGGAAGAGTACACTCTGGCTCATTTTCAGCTTGGCATTGACTATAAACCCTTCAAGTCCTTTTTAGATCCTTGGCTAGCAGAAGAGTGCCAGGGCCTGCTGGCAGACAACATGCCTCACAGCCACTCAGAGGCTGTCTCTAGTGGTCGAAGGAAAGACATACGGTGCAAGGCCAGGTGTGGAGGAGGGACTATGAACTCCTGCTCACAGATAGCTAGAAAAGTTTCATCACCTCTTTCAAATCTAAGTGTAGTGAGACAGTTATAGCCAGTCATGCCCTAAAGCTAAATACCACAACCGGTCCTTTTCAGCAGCAGGACGTTTTGTCAGGATGTGCCATTTTGTTCAAGCCAAGTCACTCAGACATGTCAGCAAATGTGGACAGAGGATTTTGGTCTAGAATCCCTCAATCACTTTTGGACAGTAAGAAAGAGATCTCACTAATAACCTCACATTTTTAAATCTTACACATGACACTTTGGCATAGTTGCATTTCTTGGGGGGAAAAACCCCCTTCAATGTTTGAGTGTTGTGATAAGATAAACAATAATTTTGAATGTACAAAAGTTGCAGCCAAACCAACTTGCTCTCTCCTATGGACAGTAACATGAGATTTTAATAAATAATTAAATGAAGGCAGGTGTGTGCACATACAGTTTTGATGTTGAAAAGCCTCAACTTTGCACATCCTTCAACAAATGAGTAACTGTATGCATAGGCTGTCCACATACAGTATCACTTCCATGGGCACAGATCCAGCGTTTTTCATACCACACGTTTTTAGACTATTAAAGCCTTGGTGTTTGTGATAATGACACAATTTCCAGACAGTAGCAATGTACTTTGTGAAACAATTTCAGGTGAGCAGAGCATTGGCAGGAGCTTATCTCTTAAAAAGAACTAAAGCATGCAACCAATTTACATTACGAAGAGAGAATTCCTTTAGGAAAAGCAATTATGTAATTTAGTACACAAAATTCTCCTGAATATTTCAATATTTTCTCTTAGGCTTACTTATTTTTGCTAGCAGAAATTTACTGCACAACCTTGTTTTTCTTTCAGAGGTGACTAGCTGCACACACACGAAAACTCTAAAGGAAACACATGGCTACACAAAGCAGATGAAGGTATACAAAGAATGAAGGCAAAGCAGATGAAAAAGGACAGAGACACCTTATACCCATCTTTCAGAACTGGAACAGACGAAGAGAATATGAGGAAAAGAGCTGAATATGCTCCCCCTACTCCCTCTGTAAATAAGCACCAGAGGAATTGTCTCAGAGCCAGCTACAGCAAAACTGGATTGTGAAAGTAAAGTGGTAACACTTCACTTCTTGAAATGCATCCACTATTTGTATCATTTTTGTGTGCACTGTGTTGTATGCTGTGAACTATTTGCTGTATATCATTAGCAAAGTAGCTAGCAAGAGCATCCTTAACCAAATCACAGGATTCAGTCCAAGCAACAGCCAGTGATTTCATCAGTTAAAACAAATGGTGAGCTTAGAAAGACTCATCATAGAACACCAAGAGACATGGATGGGCTGACATGCCTGTAGCTCACAGTATTTCTTTCCAAACACAGTGTTTAAAGAGAATAATGTTTATCCTGGTTTCAAATTCCTTCTGAAACTCGGAGATGCTTGATGGCCTTAAAAAGTACTGACAAAATAACCATTTCACAAAACAGTCAATCACAAAAGGAAACCAAAGCATCCTCTTTCGTGCCACCCCATCTTTAAACTGCTGCATGCTCTACCCACCCTCAACAATAAATTGGAGATGTGCAAGATCACAGGATAGATATTTGGCAGCACAGCAAAACTAGATTTACTTCAGATACTTTAAAATTTGGAGGCAAAAAAAACCATCTCCAGTTTCTTTCAGTTCACAGGGCTGTACACCCCACTGCATCAGGCTTTGGAGAAGTTTCTCAGTGCCAGCTTGGGAACAGTGTGTATATCAAGAAGCCAAGCAAAAAGCAACAGTTAAAACGTGTTCCCTGTACTTGCTTTGCTTCATCATTCACAACAGACTAATTCCATCTATTATGACCTCCCACATGAGCAGTAACACTTGTGTGTTAGCCAAAACACTACTTTTTACTCACCTTTCTTCCTCCACCATGGCCCTTCTTGGATAGAGTATGACAGTTCTTTAAACTCAATATTAACAGCTGGTCTGCGGGGCAGGTAGGAGAAACGATGAGCTTCTGTCAGAGTATTGTCCATCTTTTTTAAATGTCCATTCATCAGTCGAATATCTTGGTTATCTGTGCCATTTGAGACCACTTCATCCACCGAAACGCACACTGACTTTGGCTCAGCCATGGTACAAGCAGGATTGCTGCCATTCTAGAGGGAGAAAGTTGAAGAATGGACAAAGTTCACACACTTTTTTTTAGGAACACGTTTCAAAACCTCCTGCATTAGAAGAATTATTCTTTAAATCACACAAGAATCCAGCACAGTAATGCAATGAAAGGTGAAAGGGGAAAAACCACAACATTTAATTTGTTCTGCCAGTGTCTTGACAGAAAAGGTAGCACCAGTTTTCCCCCAAAGGGTATATACACAGTATATTAATATCTTCAGAACAGCTCAATCAATACATTTTAAACTTTTGTCCTCATTGTATTTGCTTTCTCATGCACTCAAAGAATTTGGTTCTAGTTACTCTGATTCCAGGGCTCGTATTGGGATAGAGCTGAAGGGGGAAGGGAGCTAGCTGAAATATTATTTGTGCAGATATCCCAAGAGATAAATACTCAAAATGTATAAGAGCTCTTTTTCTTCTGGTTCAGCATATAATTCTATAAGTGTGAAACTGCACAAGTTATATTTCTGCAAATTTTGAAATGTACTATTTTGTGCCTGTTTTGCTCCTACACCAATAGTTCTGGAGACTGTACAACCTGAAACAGTAGAACTTCTTTCCTAGAGGTCTGTTAGGAAAGCACAGCACATTCCACCCCAAATCCTTGTCCACTTTCCTTGCTTGACAGTGATCCCTAATGAAAATCTTATCAGCTACATAAACATATTAAACCCTGCTCCGGTACTTGCACAGTTGACACCATAAGGTCAATGTCTTATGCTTACAAACAGTATCTCTTACTACTCTTTGCCCATTGTAGCATTCAGTTGAATTCCACTTAGCATTTTTCAGACTGAATCTCTTTCCCCTCCTCTCCTGACCATGAAATGACCTGCCACCTGCCCTTCCCTTCTTATCTGTTATGCACACAAAATCTGAACTTTTTCCATTTCTTACATCTGCATGGGCATCTTGCACCAGTATCAACAGGATGTGTGTAAGGCCAAAAGTAAAGTAATAATGGATTCTCTTCAGGTAAACAGAATTTTTAACAGTTTAGAGGCTGTTTGTTGTCATCTGGTGTCTGGAGTATGTCATAACAGGAATGGGCAGCCTGTCCAGGGTGGTGGTGGAGTCGCTATCCCTGGAGGTGTTCAAGAAGTGTTTAGATGTGGCACTTCAGGATATAGTTTAGTGGCTGGAGTAGCTGGATTACAATTGGACTCGATCTTGAAGGTCTTTTCCAACCTTGATGATTCTATGATTCTACAAGCAGGGCCCAACATCTGCAAAGTTGTCTATTGGAAAAATTACTATTTTTTAATGCAGATCTGTTTTGGAAAAGACTTCCATAGCTGGCTTATGTGCTAGGCTTTCCATGCTGTCCTATCTGGCCAACAATATACATGTCCTCAAAGGCATCTCTTGGAAGGCATATGTGCTGCACTACTTTTCAAGGCATCAGTATTGAACACCCTCAGATAAATGCTGCAGGTAATGCCCATCTCCCCCTACCTGTCCTCCAATGCAACTAAGAAGTCACATTGCCTGCTTTTCACTTAGCCATTTTCACACTCTGTCGTTGTTAGTGGTCTTCCCACTGATGATGTAAAAGCAGTGCTGTTCAGACCAGTCATTTGTCATGAATGCTGATGGAAAACATTAAAAAAACACCAGTCCTACATAATCACTATATATCTAGCGCCTTCAGGTTCTTCAAGCACAAACCTCAAGTTCTGGATGTAAAAATCAGCTGCCCTTACCATATTTTCTCAAGAAAGCAATTTTAATCACGCTCTCAAATTACTCAAGAGGTCAGGTATCCAGTAACACTTACTCCCAGTTTTCTAAATAGTTGACTGTAATGGCATGTAATTTGAACAGAACAAGAGTAATGTGAAAGATCTTAAACCTGAACAATGAAAGCAGAGGAACCTCACCCTTTCTGAAGAAATAAGAGAAGGAGAGTTAACATTATTCTTTCCTCAATGTTTTCAAGGCTTACTTTGGCACTTGTAAGCTGCTTGATTCAGAGGAACCACTGAGCACCTTCAGATATCAGAGGGAATATCCAAAAACTAAGACTTAATGAGGAGGTCACCTTGAATATTCAGTGGACGGTCAGAGCTTCTCCAGTTCAGATCAACTCAAAAAGAAACATCCTTTAGACAAGGCATTGTCTCTGCCTACTTAATCATCTTTGAGTATGAAGCCAGAGACTTTTGTTCCTGGGACATTAAACAAACCATTTCAAGCACCCAGTCGACTGAAATGCCTGTTTTCAGCAGACAGACTCTTGCCAGCCCTCAGTCATATGCCTGCCTCCACCAGGGACCACCTGGTGTGGGCAAGGATCTCTCTCAGGGACCACCTGCTACGGGCAAGGATTCCCCCCAAGCACCTGGGGAAATGGCTCCCAGTTGCAGGATAATCTCTGCTTGCTAAGAGGTGGGCAACTTCCGTGGCTACCACAGCCACAGACCTACGTGAGCTCTGCATAATTGCTCTTTAAGCAATTCTGAACTCCCTTCCTCTACCCACAAACACCAGTGAACCATTTGTTCCTCCACTGACAGGGAACTTGTGGGTATGTGCAGCCCTGTATTTCAACCTGCTGCCCATTTCAACTGCCCTCCACACCAGGCGTGAAAAATCGTAGAATCATAGAACGGTTTGGGTTGGAAGGGACCTTAAAGACCATCTAGCTCCAAAACCCCCTGCATGGGCAGGGACACCTCCCACCAGCCCAGGCTGCTCAGAGCCCCATCCAACCTGGCCTTGAACACTTCCAGGGAGGGGGCATCCACAGCTGCCCTGGGCAGCCTGGGCCAGGGTCTCACCACCCTCATACTTAAGAATTTCTTCCTGATGTCTAACCTAAATGTACCCTCTTTCAGTTTAAAGCCATTTCTCTTCATCCTATCACTACATGCCCTTGCAAAAAGTCCCTCCCCAGCTTTCCTGTAGCCCCTTCAGGCACTGGAAGGCCACTATGAGGTCTCCCAGGAACCTTCTCTTCTCCAGGCTGAACAGCCCCAACTCTCTCAGCCTGTCCTCACAGGAGAGCTGCTCCAGCCCTCGGCTCATCTTCATGACCCTCCTCTGGACTCACTCCAACAGCTCCCTGTCCTTCTTGTGTTGGGGGGCTCCAGACTTGGGCACAGCACTCTGTGCTCAGCGACTGCACTCACGTCTCAGTCAGTTTCGCACAGGTTCATTTCCCGTACAGTTTTATTTCTCCCACAGGGACACGGGCTCCTT